TCTAGAACCCAACACATCTTGAAGTTTCCTTAAAAGACAGGCAGGCAGCTGAATTGACTGATTTGATAGTTATATTGCTTACTGTGGTGTCTACGAGGATTACTCAAAATCTATAAAAACCCAAGAAACAAGAGTGTATTTAAACATGTTAAGTTTTAAGATCGTGACAGGGCAAGGAGTGCAGGGTGTGCTTTGCTCTATACACAGTACAAATCCCCTAGTTCACAGTTCCTAGTCCATCTTGGGAGCGAGAAAGAGAGGGTGACTACTGTCCTACATACAGTGGGACCATGGAGAACTAATGTAGCTAGAGTATAGTGCCACTTTAATGATTACTGATTAAAAAAAGATGTAATCTATAGATTATATGTCAAACAAGATGTAATCTAGATTATATGTCAGAAAATGGCTTTTAAATAAATAAATAAAATCTACACAACATACAGCGGGGATCGAAAGTTTGGGCACCCCAGCTAAAAATTTGTATTAATGTGCATAAAGAAGCCAAGGAAAGATGGAAAAATCTCCAAAAGGCATCAAATTACAGATTAGACATTCTTATAATATGTCAACAAAAGTTAGATTTTATTTCCATCATTTACACTTTCAAAATAACAGAAAACAAAAAAATGGCATCTGCAAAAGTTTGGGCACCCTGCAGAATTTATAGCATGCACTGCCCCCTTTGCCAAGCTGAGACCTGCCAGTGTCATGGATTGTTCTCTATCATCGTCTGGGAAGACCAGGTGATGTCAATCTCAAAGGTTTTAAATGCCCAGACTCATCTGACCTTGCCCCAACAATCAGCACCATGGGTTCTTCTAAGCAGTTGTCTAGAAAACTGAAAATAGTTGACGCTCACAAAGCTGGAGAAGGCTATAAGAAGATAGCAAAGCGTTTTCAGATGTCAATATCCTCTGTTCGGAATGTAATTAAGAAATGGCAGTCATCGGGAACAGTGGAAGTTAAAGCAAGATCTGGAAGACCAAGAAAAATATCAGACAGAACAGCTCGCAGGATTGTGAGAAAAACAATTCAAAACCCACGTTTGACTGCACGATCCCTCCAGAAAGATCTGGCAGACACTGGAGTTGTGGTACACTATTCCACTATAAAGAGATACTTGTACAAATATGGTCTTCATGGAAGAGTCATCAGAAGAAAACCTCTTCTACGTCCTCACCACAAAAATCATCGTTTGAACTTTGCAAATGAACATATAGACAAGCCTGCTGCATTTTGAAAACAAGTTCTGTGGACCGATGAGGTTAAAATTGAACTTTTTGGCCGGAATGAGCAAAGGTACGTTTGGAGAAGAAGGGGCACAGAATTTAATGAAAAGAACCTCTGTCCAACTGTTAAGCATGGGGTTGGATCAATCATGCTTTGGGGTTGTGTTGCAGCCAGTGGCACAGGGAACATCTCACGAGTAGAAGGAAAAATGGATTCAATAAAATTTCAGCAAATTTTGGATGGTAACTTGATGCCATCTGTGAAAAAGCTGAAGTTAAAGAGAGGATGGCTTCTACAAATGGATAATGATCCCAAACACACCTCGAAATCATTGGGGGATTACATCAAAACTGAAGGTTTTGCCATGGCCTTCACAATCTCCTGACCGCAACATAATTGAAAATCTATGGATAGACCTTAAAAGAGCAGTGCGTGACAGACAGCCCAGAAATCTCAAAGAACTGGAAGACTTTTGTAAGGAAGAGTGGGCAAAGATACCTCAAACAAGAATTGAAAGACTCTTGGCTGGCTACAAAAAGCGTTTACAAGCTGTGATACTTGCCAAAGGGGGCAGTACAAGATATCAACTCTGCAGGGTGCCCAAACTTTTGCAGACGCCATTTTTTTGTTTTCTGTTATTTTGAAAGTGTAAATGATGGAAATAAAATCTAATTTTTGTTGACATATTATAAGAATGTCTAATCTGTAATTTGATGCCTTTTGGAGATTTTTCCATCTTTCCTTGGCTTCTTTATGCACATTAATACAAATTTTTAGCTGGGGTGCCCAAACTTTCAATCCCCACTGTAAATACCGCTATATAACACCAACATAAACACTTTATATTTTAGTTTAAAAGTTACTAAGCCAATTGTCTCGCATCCTGTTGCTTTAATCAAACATCATTTTCAATAGTTTCCTGCCAAGAAGGCATTACTTGCCTCTTTTGCTACCTGCACTACCAGTCTCTGCAGTACTAAAGACAAATTTCCTGCAGATTCTGACACTGATGGAAATGTCCGATTTCTGGTCTGTCATTGAACTCAGTGGCTGGATCCACCAGCAGTCCTGCAGCGACATGCAAGCCCAGTAGGAGTAACCACAGCATGTGGTGAAGAACCACGAATTTAACAATCCTGAAAAAGTCAAATTCTGCTGGGTATTCAGCCAGAGGTTTTCTATTTACTATTGTAGAGATCAATGACATAGGTAGAAGGGGAGATGAATATTTTGATGGTTTCCTTGCAGGGGGCATGGAATATAAAGTTTAAATTTAGCAACAGAGTAACTTGAATACCCCCATTTGTGAGCACAGATGCAAAATATTCAAAAACAAAAATTTCTTCTACTTCAATTAAAGCCAAAATTGCAAAAACTACTATACAAGCTCTAGGAGTTACATTAGGAAAAATGACATAAGACATACAAAATGGGCAAGCAGGCTGGAATAGTTATTTAATAGAAACCACTACCAAATAAACCATGTCTGTGCCAAGAAGCAACAGTAACGATGGCCAACAAATTAATTATTATAAATGATCTTTCCACAAATATTTTTTCATAGAGGAGGCAGGGTAAAAAGCAGTCAGACAACACCGATTTCATAGCATGCCTGGGAAAAAAAAACATCATTATTCAAAAATAGAGAATCCCACTGGATGCTAGATTTTCAGAAATAATTTACAGGAGTATACTGCAATACAGATATAAGAATTTTTTCTTGATCTGGTTGAAATCTGGCAGAATGTTTGATGGTCATCTCATTTCCAATGGCAACTTAACTATCCCAAAGAATATTCACAACGTTAGATGGCAGTTGGATGTGCAGACAAATGTAAAACTCTGAATGACTGTTCTAAATATATCTTTATCCTACTTATTCTTTTATCATATATAACCAAACCACTCACTCATGCATGTTAAAGTCTATAGAGGAGGTAGAGTGGAGATCAGCCACCACTGTTTTGGTCTAGGCCTGAGGTAACAACAGCTATTGGTTGAAGAAAAATCAACCCAAAGTGAGTATTGCTCATTTTATGTCAATGGGAACATCTAAAAGACAGATTAATGGAAAACACTGATCTGGAAAAAAAGAATATACAAACTGAAGAACAGAATATTATTTTGAGTTATACTATTACAAGTGGTAGGAGTCGGTATATATAGATAAAAAATTACTAGCTGATGAGGCAAACAAAGGGCAGACTGTGGAGGGAAGGGGTTGTAATAAAATAAATACAAATAAGCCATAATATAAACAAGGGTATTAAATCCTTGATGGAAAGTGGCAAGAGTTGTCCATTGATCTGATATGACAACTTAACTGTGCACTGTTAGCCAGAATGAAAGAAAGTTGCCTATTGCTGATCGGGCACAGTCTGTAGACAGAGGAACTTTGATTCTGAAATTCATGGAAATAGCAGTATTCAGATATGCAATAGTTTTAATCAGAATGATATAGCTGGTTAGCGTGCATTCATTTCATGCAAACACAAAAAATGGAAATTAAGGAAAATAAACAAGTATGTATTCTTCTGAAAATTACCTCAGGACAATTTATTAAGGCTCTGTTCACATGTAGGCATTTTGCATCACGGGTGGAATTGCTGTGATTCTGTCTGGCGATTTTAAAACACGCTGTTAAAATGTAAAATCGCACATCATTGTGTTTAGGTGCCATGCATTTCAATGGCACCTTAAAATGTGGGGCGATTTTGCTGTACAATTTTTTTTGCGCAACAATAATGCAAACAAAATTGCGCAATGCTTGTTGGCCAAAAGGAAATTCTGGAACTTGTTAGCATGTTTGCCACGCGAAAAATCGCCCTGCGTATTTAGGTGCAATTGAAATGAATGGCACTTAAACACGCTTGCCGATTTCACATTTTAACAGTGCGTTTTGAAATCAAGGGAGGAATCTCGATTCGGCAAATGATTCAAAACTCCAATATGTGATGTGAACAGAGTCTAACCTGCATCTGTACCCAGACTATGGAGTTTAAATTATTTATATATTCTTAACAATCAGTAAAACAGCTTTGAAACAAACCTTCCCTGACCTCTCTAGCTACTTGTAACAAGAAGTACTGAATTCTCCAAGATCCACTAGCAAACACAAAAAATGGAAACTAAGGATAATAAACAAGTATGTATTCTGCTGAAAATGAATTCAGGACATGTTTTACATTAAAGAGCTGGCAAACTGCCAAGATCATGTTGCAATAGAAAGTAATAGGCTAAGATTTTAGTGCTTCTGTTGTAAACATTAAGGAGATGAATTTCTCAAAAATGCCTATAACTACACAGGTGAGTGAAGGGTTGTTTTAAAACACTTTTTAAGGACACTTTTAAAGTAAAATTATTCTTAAACACGTTTTACCATACATTAGACAACTTTTAAGAAGGTTTGTTAAAACATCATCCACAAAATCCACAAACCATATGTAAAACCTTAAAGGAAACCCGTGCTGAGAAAAAAAAAAAAGTTGCTACATCTGACCTCTTCTTCAGAAAACGCTAGATACCAGGCTGTCTTGCTGATCAAATGACTTCACTACTTCCCCAATCTTTAACAACGCAAATAAGGAGTCCACTCTAAACACATTGCCTGCATGCTTACCCCACGTTAGTGACCAAGCCACTAGCATTTTCATAAGAAAATCAGCAATGGCAACTTTAATAGTTCTCTCAGTCCAAGTTTCCAAGATGCTTTCAGTCAAATTATGGAATACACAAACGTAAGGCAAAGAGAGGCTCATTTTACTTACATATTCAGCTGTATCATCCATTTCCCACTGAGTAAGGAAAGGCAGGTAGAGAAAGAAAGAATATTAAGAATTGCAAAATTACACTGATGGTGATGACCAGCTCTACTGGAAATCTAAACAGAAGGTCTCACAATAATTTAAAGCGTGTATAGGAAAAAATATTCTCTTTTCCCATTGCAAGAAATCATTTCCCTTCATGTTTCTAGCAAAATACGATAGAAAGGAAAATCCAATATATTTTGCATTTTGTATACTGCACTTTTCCACAATGCATTCATTCCTTTAAACATACACAGGACTTTTTCTGCCTCACTTGAAATCTTTTGACTATTTCAAGCTATATTTCTAATGTGTTTATTTTCAAAAAGGTAATGCAAAAAAAAGGAAGTGGTATAGGTTAGTGTCATTTGCATACAGCTCTTGGCTATAGGAAGAGTTTGTTAAAGTAAACCAGTTAAACAATGTAAACATGTCCAACTAAAAGTCTTGTCTTGAAATGTCAAATACAAGATGCATGATATGTTGTTAACTGGAAACCTGTTTTTGTAACAATGTTTGATTTAGAATCACTTTTTTAATAGGAGCCCTGACCTGTGCATACGAGATCATTTTAACAGCCAGTGTATGTCTGGGGAAAAAATATCAGTACACCTATGCAATAAATGCACATTTATAATTTTATCCCATTAAAATCCTGATAGTACAGAAAAATCATGTACTATGCTAAAGAGGCTAAAGAGCAAAATAAAAACTTAACATAAAAAAAAAATAAATTAGATTTTTGTACTTTTGGAACTGTGGATTTTTTTTGCCACCTAGAAGGTAGACAGGAGGCTTGATAGTAGACCAAAGCTGAAGGCCAGCCTCAAGGTGTTTTACCCGCTCTTCTAACCATTTTGCTCAATTACAAACAATTTTTTAATAATCTATTAAGAAATATAGCATTTAATATTTATGATCCATGGGATGTCCCCAAGCAGTTCAGAAAACAGAGGGGCGGGTAACCCCCCCAAAAAAGGTGACCCAGAGCTCACCACAACCAAACTGGGAGCTCGTCAGTCTGCTTACAACATCTTGTCACCAAAACCTGCTTCCTCTGATGGCAATACATGCAGTTGTAAAATTTTGTAATATGTGAAGCTCCATTGTAGCCTTACAAACTTGAGGCACAGAAGCCTGATAGCAAAGTGAATGCAGAAAGGAAAATGGAAGTTTTCACTTTTAACTCCAACTGCAAAGGTAAATGGTGGATCTAGAAGCTGGAGATCCCTTTTTCAGATCCTCAGAATTTCAAAGAATATAAATTAAAATATGGCAAAAAAATAGACCCTAACAACATTTAAACAGTAGACTGTGTGGGAGTTGGACACAAGCAGACAAGATATTTGCCTAGATCACAGGGACTACCTTGAGTAGAAGGAAGGCATAAGCCTCACCACTCACAGTATACATGTAAAGCACAAAAAGGTTCCTTACAGGACAAAGCAGACAGTTCAGAAACCTTCCTGGCCAAAGTAATTACCACAGACAAAGTTACTTTGTGGGAAAGGGAAGAACTGAAACAACTAATTTTAACATCCCACAGTTGAATTTGAGATCTGATGGCAAAAGCAATATCAGTGATTCCTTTCACAAAGAACTAGCTTAGTGAGTTGGTGGCTAATTGTGTCTCATATAGAAAAACAAAGCCTTACATTCAGGCTCAGGGACTTGGCCCATTCATCAAGAATCCTGGTGATCAACACCCAGGAGGGAGCAGATGAATACTTAAAGAGAGTGTTCTTAACCTCCTTAAAAAGTTACGGTGACTGTTTCTCTCTGTTTAGACTGAAAGTCAAGCAATGGAAAGTCATTTTGGGTGTCGTCATCACTATGACTGGGCAGGAATTTGGCATCAGAGGCCAGCTTGATGGAAGGCCCTAGCCCCACTTCCCATTTTGTTAGGGCTGACATGTGATATTCAGTTAGGACTGACATGTGGTATCTGAATGTGAGTTCACTGGGGAAGGGGAAGAAGTACACTTATAACACCTGTAGTCAGGCTGTATAACAAACTGGGAAAAGAGTAATATATAAAGCCCTCCATTGCAAAGAAAAAAGCATCAGCGGTAAGGTATGTATGCTCTGGCATATCAGAAGGCTCAACAGAAGTCTCAGATACAGATCAGAGGTGGGCAACTTGTTAGCCAGTGTACAGATGTTACAAAATGAGCTCTCCCGTTTCAGGTAAAAGTAATTCTTCAGAAAGAACATTCAAAAGGAGAGGCAACCTACTTGGAATAGACCCTTTCATAAGGCATGACGAAGCAGTCAGGCTGTGAACAATTTTTGGTGCAGGCAACAGATTGTGAGACAGTAAGGTTTCCCTGTATCCCATGCAAGGTGAAGGCCCAAATGGTGACTGTCCAAGAAGGTTCTGCTCAGTTTCTGCATAAGCTAGCAACTCCAGTACTGGTAAGAGGATGTTCACCGTGTCATGGATATGGTAAAACTAATCACAGTAGCACCAACTGCTGAACACAGGCCTCAGGGGAAAGAAAACAAACATGAGGGAATCCTGGTACAGCCTGTGCTGCTGCACACAGCACACTCACAGGGAAAGGGCAGGCAAAGCAACTGCCACAGGTGCGAACCAAATATTCACTACAAAGAAACCTCAGACCAGCGCCGACATGACATATGAAAGAGAGCCTTGTGTACAAAGTAAGCTATACAGAAATGGGAACCACCCCAATTTATAACTAGCCTTTGAAGCAAAGCTAGTTATAAATTGGGGTGGTTGCCATTTTTTTATCATTTGCTCACTGGAATTGGCATGGAGACACATTGGATGCCTTCAGCTTCCATTATGCTCTTTCTGAGCTTCTAATGTGTCCTTGTGCCTTAACTTATGGAGACTCTCAAATATAAGTGTTTGGACAGCACTTAACAGAGGAACCTTGACAAGACAGTGTGGCTTTCACATATGCTTGCAAATGTGTACAACAAAAACTTCTGTTTTTAGCAGCAATTGTTAGACAGTGCCATTTTGTTTTGTTGACCACCACAAAGTGAAACTGAGCAAGAGGGTGAGGGGAGGGGTTATAGTCCAAAGGGGCTGGACAGTTTTGGCTCAGTATCTAATCCTCCTGAAATGCTGTGCCCTTTAAAGCAACAATAAAAAATATTTGTATACTATATAATAATGAATACTTGCTGATCTGCCAGAAATGGAGTGTGCTCCTAACTTCCTATTTGAGCCTTTGCTACACTGAAATCCTAAGGAGTATTGTGACTCCTTCCCAGTTTACTTCTGCTGGACTACTGAACACCTGCCACCTCCTCTCCATAACATAAGGTCAGGGGTGGTGTGGTGTGTGTGTGTGTGTGTGTGTGGGGGGGGGGGGGGGGTCTGTCAGGTTACCACAGGCAGTTAAGAGCTGACTGCATTTATGACAGGAATAAACTGTCATTTCTGTACTTGTAGCTTTTGTTAATGGTATAAACCATGAAAAGCCATGAAAAAGTGTGCAATATTACTAGACAGAGTACAGGCTGGTGTGCATTACTAAGCCCAGACATCAGGGTAATTCAGTACCTGGTAAGACACTGAAACTAAATTAGAGGTACACAGAGGAGGTGCTTTTGACTAATAAAAGTAGTTCAGCTCCATGTGATTATGCCGAGCAGCTGCTATGGTTTGGTTCTTAAGGTTTTTACCTGTGTACTGTTGTTATAATTGCTGTTTATTATGTGTGCCGAGCCAGGGGAAGCCCAACTGCTCTGTTTTGTATTCTACTACTAAATACACTGAAAAAAAAAAAAGAATTTAAAATAAATAAATAAAAGTAGTTTAATGTTCTTGAAGTGCCCACTTTTAATCAGATCTTTACTTACTGTTAAACTCTTAAGACGGCAACAGGTTTCAGACCCTTTCAGACGGGGCAGACCTGCCAGCAGATCCGTTTTCTCAGCGGGGGATCTCTCACAGGTCTGTGTCTGCTCTGCTGCTGCAGAGCAGAAACAGACACAGCCTGCTTTTTCCTATGGGGCAGTCGGATTGAAACTGACCACCTGTCTGTTTCCACTCGAGTGTCATCCGATCCACCGGGCGGATGGGGAACGATCCCCATCTGTCTGTTTTTGGTGTATAGGATTGGATCAGATGCCGGCAGGTGTCAGAGGATACTTGACACCCGCCTGTCCTTAGAAGTCTATGGATGGTCCGATTCCGGCCACCTGAAAAACTGACAGGCGGACCCGATCAGACAGTCAGTGTGAAAGGGGCTTAAGTGATCTTTGGGTACATTCCAGATTACACCTATAGCAGCTATTTTTTCACTTGCGTGTACGGTTAATCCTTAGCTGTCAAAAGCTATATGCAAAAATGTACTGTGTATTTTTTTACCAAATTACCTGCGAATCAGTCAGCATAACATCCCTTATAAAGGGAAGCCCTTTTGCCTCTCCATTTTCAATTTTAACATAGTGAACTTGATAGCCACGAATTTGGCCGTGTTGACGGTTTTGGACAGGAGAACGCCAAAATACTTTAATGGCGGTCGAGTTTAATACTTCCACCTCTACTTTTCTTGGTGGAGCACTGGGCACTGAAGAGAAATGAAAAAAATTGCAATCACTTATTTTAAATAGCTTTTCCTCCATTAGAACAAAAATATTTCTGAACTACAACTGAACACAAATGATAGTTCATAGGCTGTATACACAGATAAGGAGGTTTTTTTTTGATAGAGTGAGGAAAGACTAGCACTTCTTTTGGGCCTTACTGCTATTTGGGCATTCATTGGGGAGATTTCCCCTCACAACCCGGGTGACACCAGTTTGACCAGACAAGAATAAACTATTTAATAAAGTAGCAAATGAGAGGAAATCTCTCTAATGGAGCCCTGGATAGAAAGAAGTAAAAACTCGACAATGGTTTATAAAGATTAAGTTAAACTTGGTCTGCAGTCCACTTCCATTTTACTATAGAGCAACACAAAAAAAAACCTGACACTTTGTTAAACACTTCTTTGAATTAGGCAACACATCATATGCTGAATCAGGTTCCAAGGACACTTGTTTGGCGAGATACACACGAATGTCCCAATTTAAACAGGTGTATATACACTCTTATGGTGTCATACATACAGAACTATTGCAATTTGCAACTCACACAAATTATGAGCATGTTTTAGGCAAATTATAAAAACTATGGGCAAAAAACGCATTATGCAGTCTATCAATAGCATTAACACAGCACTGTTACATGTTTATATTAGCTGTTGGTCCTGTCAGCAGACCTAATACTTTTCTGCTTCCTGTAAAAAAGACCACGTTGCCCAGCAAAAAATGGCAGTTACAAAATGAGGAAAAATAGTACACAATGGTGGTGATGCTCTCAACTGCCAGCTATTATCCGTGTGAGTTAAACCTTTTTTTAAAAAAAAAAAAAAATACATATATTGCTGCACGATTTTATCACAAAATGAACAGCATTGTCATCCCATTAACAGAAAGCGGAAAAATAACCGATCTACTGACAGGTTAATCAAATAATAAAACTAAATTACCTAGGGTTCTAAGAAAAGCAAAACGATTTTAACTGTATTAAAGCTTATCTAAACATTGAACAAAAATGTTCTATACTGCAGTTTAGTCCTTATATGTGGTGGCTGCATTAAGGTTTTTTTTTTAAAGGCATTTACCCTTTATTTTTACCTGGTGATCCTGCAATTAAATTAACACACTTCTTGTCCTAGGGTGGCAACACTAACTGTACTGTATCTGTGGAGGAACAGTGTTGTCACCCTATGACAGGACTACCATAGCCCTCAGAAATAATAAGGCCAGAGAGCACAGGAAGTTAACATCTGAAAAGGTTTCTGACAGGATAAAGTTTTTTTTTTGTATCCAACAACTATGACAAACTGCTTTCTAATGGTATATTTAACAGACTCAAAGGTACCAATTAACAGAAGTTATTAGGGTTTACATACACTTTACCCCTTACTGCGGACTTTTTTTCCCCTCATGTTTCATATACATAATATGCACTTTTGTTTTTTTTACATAAAATTCACTTCGACTCTGAAAGTAGAAAGCATGTGGTATAAAAACCTGGATAGCTGCAATTTTTTATGTCACACAATATTAGTGTAACGGTTACCAAATCTATATAGTTTCAGTATCACATGAGCACAAAATCTAATTTTTTTTGTAAATAGAAAAGATGAGACAAGAGTTGAGTAAAAAGTTTTCAAATTGTGCGAATATGACACTTTAACAGCTTTTACAGGTCATCAACTTAGATTTGACCACAAACAATGGTTCCAGCATTTTTCCCCTCATTCCACCGTGCATGGTGATAAACAAAATGTGTTGCGCAATTGTGATTTATGTACACGTGCATGTACAGCGTTAACTAATTTTTTTTACACATTTTTCTTTTGTATTTACTTAACTTTATTACCATCATAAAGGGACTGATAAGCTCCCCATGTTATAATACTTTTTGAGTGACAGGCGCTGTTAACTGGGACACCAGGAATCTTTGGAACCTTAATGCCTCCCCTGCATGCGTTCAAAAGCACTGTAGAAGTGATCCAGCGGCTATACAGGACTATGGTATGGGTACAGCTATGAAGATGTTGGGAAGGCATAGAAGATCTGTGCAAGCAATGGAAAGTGGTGCATGCATGCACAGTAAGACAACCCAAAGAGAGGCAGTACACACTCAGTAGAGGGACACAGTTAGTAATGGATACTGCCTGACAGTTTTAAAAACGTGCGCTACACCTCTTCCTGTACTATGACCAGAACTGACGCAATGGTTAAAACCTTAGGGAACTGCATGGAGCAGCAAAGCACACACCAGGTTCCCACAAATAAAGGGCAAAGCCCTGTGGTCCTCTCCACATTCTCTTAAATATAACTACAGCCTGCTTTAAAACAGTAAAACAAACAAAACAAAAGGGTGAATGCTAGTGACAGCCTGCATCATATACATGTCATTTTTCATTTTGCCCACAGTTACTAGGTCATTAGTTACAAATTAAACAAGACAAATGTTTAACTATATAATAATGTACTAATGTCTTATCACTAAACATACATTAGTTTAATTCTGCAAAATAGAAACAAATAAAGAATTAAATTACCATCTTCATCGGTGCGAACAACAACGGGCGAGCTCTCCGGGCCAGGTCCCACTGCAGTATGTGCGACAACAGTGATACGATACTCAGTCCATTTTTCTAATGCTTCCAGAAGGATTTCAGTGGTCTCAGGTGGAATGTCCTTCACTTCTTTTACTTCTGGGTCCTCAGAGTCCAAAGCACCATAGCGCACACTGTATCCAGCAAGAATGCCATTATGGCTTTCTGGTGGGGGTGGCTGCCAACTTACCAGTATTGTGGTAGACTTTGTGCTGACACACTTTACATCTTGAGGGGGGGCAGATGGTTCTATGAGAGGACAATTAAGGGCAGGAGGGATAGGGCAAGTAGAGAAACAAAAGATGGGAAAGATAAAATAAAAAAGAAAAAAGGAATACAACTCAAAAAAAAAAAAATTAAGAACGTGATCTGTTAGAAAGTAATACTTGAGTAAACAGAAAATAAGTTCAAAATAAAATATGAATATGGGCAAATTATATGGGGAAGGTTCTATTCTCTAGGCAATTTGTCTCTTCAGGTTAACTAAATTTTATATGAAAATGTAAAGGTCTACAGACTACTTTTTTCTTTGACAGTTCTTCATTTTGTACCTGCTGAATACTACAACAGTTTTGAGGTGACTATAAATGGGAGAATTATTATGTCACTCTAGGTGTGATGTGCCACTATCTGCTATGGTAACAGGTTAGAGGCACCTCTATATTGAACAGGCAATGGAGTAAATCACAGTGATTTATTATTGCATACCCCAATGTATGCGGTCACCATATGACCTCTTCTGTAGAGTTTTTCAGTGGATATAACAATCCTCCAGAATCTAATCGTTTAGCCTGTGCCCATTTTGCTTTTTTTCCCTCCATGCTATGGGTTCACAGCAAGTCTTTTACCTTTCATCCCTGTTTCCACAGGTGATGGATCCAGAGAAGAATCATGCTGCTTCAGAAGCCATTTATTTAACCAAGCCAATTTCTCAGTGCATGTGTAAACGATCTGAGTCTCTATGCATTTAGTCTGTGTATCAACCTATCCTTACTTGTGCTGCGTCTCAAAATTTTCTTTATGCATTTACAAGCTCTTTCCCTTTCACGAGAATTAGATTGATTGTGTAATTTGTGAATGTTTTCACATCGCAGCATCTTGTCCGTGTTCTTTCTGTAGTTTTAACTTTTGCCTATCACTCTTCCATTGTTCCAAGTCTGTTCCTCTGTTTATATCATGCTAGTTCTTCATTTGTTATTTGTGTTTGGTATTAGATGTCCAGACTTGTGTCCTCATTTAAAGATTTCCCCTCTCTTAGGCGGGCCATAGACGGGCCGTTTATCGATCGAATTTTCGGCCGATAAACGAAAAATCGGTTGGCCCCGTTGCCGATGCTGCCACCAATGCTCCGGTCATGCTGGAGATCCACGAAAAAACAGCTGACGGGCTGGCCCCACTAACGGCGTGAATATTGGCCTATTTTTCGTGCGGATGAAAATTCGGCCGATAAACGACCCGTCTATGGCCTGCATTACTGTTCTGGTGTCCATCCAAAATTCGGGATTTTCTTTTACTTTCACTGTCAACATTAATGGTAAACAGGAAAAATAGAGAGGGTGAATCTCCCTAATGAGGGCGCAGAAAGAAATAGAAAACAGTTGTTCTAATCCCTCTCCACTCTAAAAAAAAATAAAAATAAAAGTTTTGCCTTTAGTTATATCTTAACTGTCTGTCTTTTGTATATGCATTAGCATTCTATTCTATTAATCCTATTTGCCTACTTAACAAAAAAAACGTGCATTGGCAGGGTTTATATAACATTTTGTTATAAGGGCAGCCTAAGTAAACCATGTGAAATAAAGCAGGCACATGGTTCAAAAAAAAACACATGTAAACTGATTTTGAGAATGTAGATATGTTAGAGAAACAAAATCTGCAAACTTAAGAATTTCCTAGATTTATGCATAAATATATCCCAATGTGTGACCCGATTTTCACCTTAGACAAAATCATAAAGACAATCTTATTAAGCAAACTACATTGTCAAATGGTATGAAAATCTCCAGGATTACACCTTGAGGAGGATAAGGTATCCTAACCAAGGTGCTTCAATGTGAGTATTTCCTCTCCTGCACTATAAATAATGTACACTTTTAGTTCTCTACTCTTCAGTCAGGCCTGATCAAAAATTTGTAGTGGTCCTTAAAGGAACAGTTGTTAAAGCTTGATGAGGTTAATAAATAATAATTTCTTAAGACACAGGCGTTCATCAATCTATATCTTGATTTAAAAACTAGACTTTGTCCCACTGCTCATCTCTCTAGGAGTTGGTATCCTAGAACAGATGTCTCCAAATGTTCTAAATAAAAGGGCCAGTTTATTGTCCATAGGGGCCGGACTTTGGCGAGCGGGAGTTATAAATTCCCCAACTCCACTGAGAGTAAACCATCCTTGGTTTTAGTCGGAGAAAGAGTGTCCCATTGTTGGTATTCAAAAAAGGAACAGTGCCCCATCATTGGTGTCTGTGGGAGGAATAGTTCCCCATCATCGGGGTCTTTGGGCTAAGTGTAAAGTGCTGGCAAGGTTTAGTGTTAAGGGGTCATTTTAGGATTCAGGTGGGGCAAAAGTTAATTTTAAGGTGCTACTTTATTAATAGAGATAGGTTAGGAGATTAGTAGTGGTTAGGTAACTGCTGTTCTTTTAACTTGTTTTTAGTGCCAAATACTACCACCAATCAACTAATGCACTGTGTCCTAAATACCAGTGTTAATTTTGACGTCGAATTTCAATTTAGTTTTAGTCATAGTCTTTTGACAAAAATGCTAATTTAGTTTTAGTTCTATTTTAGTCGACTAAAATCTGTACATTTATTTGACTAAAATCTCTAGCAAATTTTGGTTGACTAAAATAATTTTAGCTGACTAAAATCTAATTGGTATAGTTAAATTGTAACACATTATTTAAGCATTTCTCTAGAATTTCCAAACTCATTATATACTTCTGGAGTAAAAATCTAATAACATGTTATTATTATTGGTGTTAAGGTTTGAACATGCACTACAAACACAGATTTAGCCGTTGTGATATCCAATGTTAATTTTGATGTCAAATTTCGATTAAGTTTTAATCTTTTGACTAACATGCCATTTTAATTTTAGTCGTATTTTAGTCGACTAAAATAGTGTTATTTTTGTCAATGAAATTAACACTGCTAAGAACAAAATACTATTGTAGGGTTTATAAAAGAGATTACTCTTTAGGAAATCACTAATACTACAAAAAAAATCTTTTACTAGAGAAACAGAATTTCAAACTGTGTCAGGAGATTGTACAGCAGAACGTTAGAGCACACTCCTGTGAGCCAAAACACAAAAGTCATGCAGAAAACAAAACAAAGATGTAAATCAACAAGTGAGTAGCAACAATTAGCTGCTCAAGCAACACAACCCATAAATCTTTCACATGTATGTAGGAATGGGCTAGAATACATCCCAACTACTGCACATGTCTGGAGATAGGGATTGTTTGTAATAAAAAAGTCCTACTACTTACTAAAAATAAGGGTTCACGCAGTGTTTCCATCAACAACTTAAATTGCATAAAGTGTTTAATAAAGACAGGACAATGTAAAAGGTTGAGTGCACCGTTAAGTAACATTGTGGGAAAGATTTATGTAAAAATCTACAAAATTCTTATAGGCCCATAAACCTTTTCCTTACAAGGCTCCTACATTATTATTATTATAAACACTTTTTCTCTGTGTACACACAGCATAAGAGTAAAAGCGTATGTTTTTCTTTCAATTGAGTTAATGTAGGCAAAGAGGAATCACATGGGTTTTAAATTGAACTAGTAGAAAACTAAAAAGGTATAAAACATGATTATATCTATATGGTTAGATGTAATACTGTCAACCAATCAAAATTCTTAACTGACCTTACTACTGAAAAGTAAAATGCAATTAGCTACTTTGGGTTATTGTAATTTTTTTTTTTTACTGCCTTAGCCTGTATCTGTTTCGAAACTAGAAGGGCTAGTAGAATGACTAGTTATTTAATCTTTGTATCCAAAGACTAATGCTACTTTTAGTTGGTTATCTCCTTGTTTATTTGATTTGATTATTAATCCTATGAGCCTGTCAAAATAATGCCTTGGGAAGTTTAGTAACCAAGCAGGAAAAGGATAAAATTAATTTGAAAAAAATGAGCATGAAAGGTTACAAATAAAATAAATCAATAAAATAAATTAAAATTACCAGCATTCAATTTTTCCATCACCTACCTTTGTATCATATTTACATTAGACTTTCTGGAATTAACTGAAAGCAAGGTAGAGGCCAGATCATCTTATGTGGCATTGGGTAAATACTTAATCAGAACAAGATTCTGTTATGTTCCAATCCTATTTTTGTTTCATAATTAATGGGATTGCTATTAGTATTCATTGTAAGAAACAATGAGGAATTATCAATAGGTATATAAGTAAATTTTGGTATTTGAGATCGTACTACTCCAAACCACTGTAAGTTTGTCTGACCTCATAAATCCTTGCATTAGTGCTTGGTTCAATAGAATGGCAGGGTTCCTTGTCCAACACAAAGCACAACATTCTCACAGCTACCAAATGGCCTTACCAGCAACATTCACATGAGCACTTAACATGGTACTGAAATTTGTTCAAACCTGGATTTACATGGCAATTCAAGACAAAGGTGAACTTGGCAAATCCTCAGTTCATGAACTTTCTTAAGGCCTGACAGGATGGACTGCATTTGAGAAGCTTTGGGTTCTTTACTCACCTGTTCTGCTTTTCAACAAGCAGGCTGATCTCCATGCTCCAAGAAAGACCCTTACTGAACATTTAACTCCTAAAGTACCACAAGCTGTATTTTGTACTGATTATTTTTACACCAGAAAATTGTTCTGTTGATGTTGTACTAAAATGGTACTTAAGGAGTTAAAATTTGGCGTCTTCAGAAAACAAATAAATATACTTTACCTTTAGTTTAATGGATTTTACTTTAAACTTTGATGGTGCTAGGGCCTACAACCTAGCAGATATATTTGGAGTGAGGCACGGGAACAAACAGGAGTTTCCTGAAAGCACAATGCACAGTAAGCAAGTGTATGTGTGGGAGAGTGTGACAGGGAACATTGGTTTCCTACCCATGCATGTACAGCAAAGCCCCAGTGCAGGAAACAAGAAGATGGTAAACAATAGAGACAATGGACAACAATGGACTGAGCAGGCCTCCCTCAAAATATTAAGGCTGAGAATAAAATCTGAAAAGGCGAGGTAAATTAAAAAAA